GTAACAACTCTTACCCGTTTCTATAACTAAGTATTCCATTTACCATTCTTTTTCGTAAAGTGCTTGATAATATATATACTTCATACAACATAGGTTACAGGAATACAAACCAGTTTACAGGTTTGATCATTTTGGTAATGAGAAATGACCATTATGTACAATGTTAAGCTATACATTAGATACTGTTATTTATGGCTTATAAAGGGTGCGCTGAAGCAGGCTCAGTTCGAATTTGAAGATTATCTGGTTATCGTTTGAATCACCCACAATTCTCGAAGGTGAGACCGCATCACAGTCATGACCTTGAGGTGTGCGCGTTCGTCATAACGTTTTGATGGCATAGTGCCCACTGACAAATGCGATTTGCAGGATTCCATTTGAATGCAGGACTGGTTAGGTAAACCTGAAAAGTGGATGACGGAAGCGAGCAGCAGGCCAAATTCGAAACAGGAGCACAAAAATACGCAGGAGTAGATCAAACATGATACATCTGGGTGAGTTCTTTGTACTGACTACAAAACTTGCTTGAAGAAGTATTCAAAACCAACTGTTTAGAGGTGAGCTTAGGTGGAAGAATATGGAGGTGAGCACGAAGGCAATGAAAATTAGTGTGAAGTCGAAGATATCACTACGAAATGGAGAGATTAGAGGATTTTGGACCAGGTATTCTCTTGTTATATGCCTGTGTACAAACGTTTGATGAAGTTATGAACATTTAAGTGAAATTCATGGTTTTTTCTAAGATGGTAACCACCCTTTATCTGGTCACAGGGGGGTGATCATGGCATTGCCCGTTGAGTATTACCATATTGGAGCTACCGAAACAGTGTGGTGGTGCAGAGTACTTACACGTAAGTCTCTACGCCATGTGGTAATACAAACCCCTTTAGCATTACAAACCAGGCTGCACTATGGCATGTGTGGGGTGCAATGGTCGCAAGCTTTGTCTGATGTGCGATGCATACCAAGGGATGATGGAGTCAGTAATGCACGCACTGTCTTAGTAAGCTGACAGTAGGCTCAAAATACTTTTAAGATGTCAACCCTATTGATTGCAGTGAAAATTTAAATAACTAAAAAAGATGGGAAGATAATGATAACTGACCGGCAGGCATAGTGGGGGAAGATGAACCTGAACCACCTTTACTCCCATGGCGGTAATTTTATGCAACCTGCGATTCTGGTACTTATGATGGTTTTTGAATTTGAAGCAAAAATTATGACAAAATTATGGAAAATGAAAATGGAGTGCACTGAGAATATAAATCCTCCTATAAACTGTCTCACCCTACCCAGCACGACATTGTCGTTTCTATGTCCCTGACGTGACAACACTCAGCAGACAACACCATAGTCCTCCCTCTTCCCACGACCTTATCAAAGTCAACTTTTCCGCCGGGGAACGCCAGACAAAGCATGGGGACACTTTCAGGTCGGAGGGCGAGTCAAAAGAAAAATGAGGCCGTTTTCCGAACTTGGGGGAAATTGGAAAACATGTAGGGCGAAACACGTGAAAGGAAATTACGGGGCAAACCACATAGGACATAGGGCGAAACAAGGAGCCATGAAATACTTCTTTTTCAGGGGCACACTACTGACCACTTATCAGTACCCTAGAGTTTCCTGGTGGGTGAATTCTTGACCCCAGGTTATGAACGCTACAGCTGCAGACGTCGGTACACCGGTGAGGTCCAAAGTAGCCTATATTTTATGATCTCAATAGTATCGAGTTACAGAGTACGTTTCCTTCAGATTATCTTCCAAATTAGTGGGTCAGCCACAGGCGTGACGGTTAAGCTACGAGTATTCATTGCTGTTTACTTAGATGACAGCCACTGGGGTGCGATTGCTTTCAGTCAACTCTCTTTGTGCCACTGAAGTGGATCTCTTAACTTTATAACTCGATAAGGTTTAGAGCGGAAACCAGCGCACTACTTTCAGCAGCGTGGCATGTGAAGGTCTGGAGTTTAATTTTGTGATTTTTATCCGAATGTGCTCCTGGATCGAAGAAAAGGTGATCCTCATTGGGGTGGACTTTTTGTCGTCACAAGAAGGCGGGGATGGTATGCTGAGGGATTGTCTACGTTCTATGCAGGGCATAATTTCAGGAGGGCTTTTGAGGGACCTAACTGGTAGAAAGCTTCACAGGCTTGCCTAAAACAGATGTAGATTGAAGATAACTGTGAGGGTACACCGTATTTGTGTAACCAAGTAAACTTTGGTAGGTGAAATGGATGACGAAAACACACTTCCCGGCCCTGCATTGCACTAGACGGGTGGGGAAAAGTGTGGCTGCCCTGTTTTGAGAATTAAAGGCCCAGGGGAACAAGAGATGTATACACCTTCTGATACGTACAGCTGACAATCAGTCACGATGGACCTTGATATCTGATGTCAGTAATAGAGGCAATAGTGAACAGTGGCTGACCCTGCGATGAAAACCGTGAAAACCCCTAATGTCTGACAAGAAATGCACATTTGGTATGAAAACTCACTGCAGGGCGTCGGGCACAGCCATGTATTTATGTAGGGTATATCTACCCAAAGGAAATTTTCACGCGAGGTCTGATTTCATAGTAACCGCCTTCAAAAAAGTCTGTGGTTTTGAATTCTGGGACAACTCGTTGAAAGAGTTGGAAAGATAGAAAAAAGGATGATGTTTAACGAAAAAACGCAGTGCAAATAGAAAAAAGTGGGGTATACCGGTAAAAAAGTGGAATAAATCAGGAAAAACGTGGAGCATTTTGTGGGGAAATGGATTGCAGAACGCAGGGGAGAAACCTTGGGGAAATTTTATAAAATTACACTTATTACACAACGTTTTACACCAAGTTTTCATTTCGATTTCAAGCGTGCCCTTTGGTTTTGCTCCCCGAAGGCGTGGACTGGGTATAAAGCTAGTTTGACGTAGCAGCAAAAGGCGTTTCATTTATATGTTTATGACCTCATTTTAACTTCTGCACATTAGTTTTCTGCACATATGCCCAAACCTTACCCATATCCTTCTTTCACTCTATTTTGTAGCGATGCATTTATCTTCGGTTCTTACACCACTTCAGCGTGCAACTTCATCTTCTTCCGCGGAAAACTAATCTTTAAAAAGTTGGTTTGGGGTACAGCACCAAGATGGTTATGTGATCACCATGCATAAATGACCTTCACAAACGAATGATATGCCGTTACGTAGTTTACTGTACTTCCAGTTTGAGTTTGGTTTGCAGGACGTTTTTCGAAACAAACTGGTCAGTGATTCATTCGCACGGCGCTCCCACTAACAGTAATTATCAGTGTCCCACGTCCCGGAACTTCATCGAAATTCATAATATTCACAGTGCCGGCCGTGCCAACTACCAATTCTTCAAGAAAATTGATCGGTTCAATCCGGAAGCTGAATGACTTCCAAGATCCTCCTCAATTACCTTCAGTCTACTGAACAGAGATGTTGGCGTTCGGCTAGTTTACCTTTCTTCCCCGAGAGGCAGAAACAAATTACATTTAAACTCGGTGACAGTGGTATCATCTGAATGCCTGAACATTGGTAGGTAGAACAGGAATCGAACATGCGACCCATTAGTCAAAGCACAACTCCACAAACATTTGAGCTGCAGCTCCACTTGAAAAACGCAGATATTATCCTGCTACATGAAGATGCTGACAAAATACAGCGTCCTCTGAACGCGTTGAGCAGAAGCCTGAGTATGTTTGGCATGTGTTTTATCGGCAACTGTGAAATGTAAGATGATGTTCCAGGACTGGTTTGTTGCAAGTACTTCCACTTTAAAGGTAGGGAATGAATTGGTGGAATGTGGCAACCACTCCACTTACTTGGGAAGTCGCATCAGTTCGAGCTAGTTGCTGATGAAATCTCAGCCCAGATATGGAAGGCCTGTTTGACATTTGCCAACTTGTCTCATCTGTGGCACCGATTGGCGGTATATCCGACTACCTATCAAACGATGAGGATGCTGCACTGGAGTCCGCTCTGTTCAGTTATATGGCTGTGAGACATGGCTAGTAAATGTAGAAGATATCAAGAAATTACAGGGTTTTGATCACAGGTGTCTTCGTACCTTCGCTCACGTTGGGTGTAAGCAATGCTGAGGTCAGGCGATGTGCACTAGTCAAGAGAGGCAAGTCAACCGATGAGGTGAAGCTTGGTCGACTGAGATAGCTTGGACATGTACTGTGCATGCCAATCCAACCCCTACTTGGATGTGCCATGATTGGGGAATCTGGGTTAGGCTAGAAGAGAGTTGCGGATGACCAGACCAAGGCGAGACACCAGGTGATATAGTTTCTGACTCTTGGTTTGAGTCATGTGTGGAGATGTAGACTACCTGGGTCCTCTAGAAGAAAGGAACCAGTGACCGATTGCTCTTGGTATAAAGACTGGAAATCGGTCACAGTGGTGCGGATATATTCACTCTTTGATGTCTTCTAAAACTTGAATATTCTCGCTAACTTTTGTCTTCAAATTTTTAATTCTCTAACACACCTTTTTCTATTTTCTTATCAATCTTTTTCAATCCACTTATTTTTTGTGTACTACTGTGAAGTGTAGGAGCTTAAGCCGGCACACTTGTGTACTATGTTCTACGTTGGTTCTCTCTTTATGTCTTTGTTTAGTATTCCGGATAAGAGAAATAACTGAGTTCTGCGAAGTGAAGTGCAGATACTTTCACTTTATTCGGCCGTTTTTCGCCCCCTCCTATTTTTTTCACATTGATTGCTTTTCCGTTTCATTAGTATCCTCTGGACTTTTAAAATATGTTATTATGTTTTCCATTTATCGGATTCTCCACCTATCCAGTCCATTCTTGTTGGTTGTAGTTTACTTTCTGTTGTAACAAAGTTGTCATCCTGTATTTTATTGTCGTATGGTTACTAACCTGTCCATAAAATATTCCTGAAGTTATTTTATTGGTTTGTGGCTTTCTGTATCCATATTTTTCAAACAAAAAGGGTTAAATGTTTGTTGGTTTCACTGTTTATCCTAAACTAACTTCCCATTAATAAATGAAACAACTTCAGATGGTTAATCTGCCTCAAACACACTGTGCTATTATTGAACTGTTGGAACTAATGCGATGTGATAACTGTGCAGCGACTCTTCATCAGCCATTTACAACTGGAGTGTGTGAACACTTACTTTGTTCCTCATGTATACCAGGCCGAAGTAATGGAAAGGTTGCAAGCTGCTGTCCAGTTTGCTCAGTCCCTGTCCATCCACGTGATTGTCAAGTTCATCCACAGTTTACGTCACTAGTTTTAGTCGCCCGTCGTTTAAAACGACTGACAGTGAACGTATCTCAAGAGAAAACAAAAGTTTCTCGTGATCCCTTAACTGGTATGTTATAATAATCCTTGAAGTATTTTGATATTTGTGTACGGTTCATAAAGCATACAACCATGATATTAGAATAAATCTTTAGAACTATTATTCTTGTAAATGTAGAGGATATCAGGAAATTGCACGATTTTGATCACAGATGTCTTCGTACCTCCGCTCGCTTTGGTTGTGAGCGATGACAGCGTTTTCGGCTTTGCGGTCATGTGAAGAGTACTAAACAAGTGAAGGTGGTCAATTTGTGACAGGAATTCTTTCGTAAGACTAATAGCTTTGGGGCGGGTATAACGATTGTTGTCACCTCACCTAGGCTTGATGCGACATAACAAATGATTTGAAAATCCTTCGTGAGCACTGCACTGCCTTTGGAGGTATTGTCTGCTAATTCTGACCAGCGTATCATTATTTTGTCATTTCTCAGTCTTCTTTGACTTCACACATGACCTCTTTTGTTTTGGCTTGAACCCATCGTTGTTCCCCCCATTCTGCTATTGTTTGGTGCTGAATTGTTGACAATATGGTCTTGTCTTACCGTTCTCGACGTTTTGTTTGGCTCAACTCAGTGTCTTGCTGTGAAGTGGCTGCTTGTCCTTTGACTGCCTATTCGAAACGTTTAAAGCCCTGTTTGATTCTAGCAGAAGGAGTTTTGATCTCGATTTGCCGAGAATATTCACCCGGTTCCCAAGTATTTAAAAGTTATAAACGGTTAGTCGCTTTTTTGCTGTAAGGTACTAATTTTTACCGGAGGGATTTTCGAACTTCATGGTCGTCCGGTGGAACTGTTGACGTACTTTGATTATTTTGATCTGACCTGCAATTATTTAATAGTACCACAAGTTTGTCACAGAACTGTCATGGCAAATCGTGTTCTGATCCTGTCGAAATATAATCTCTGACTGTGCTTGACTTAAGGAAGTTTTATAAGTTATTGAGAAGAACACAGTAACTTGTCCAGATCGCGCAAACTTGGTTGGTTAAATTGTTTCTGCTTTTAGACTGGAATGCTTGGATTTTGGTCACTAGAATACTTAACATGTCGACGTTACTATGCCTGACTAGCGCAAGAAGAAGATGGCTTCAGAATCAATTCTGGACAAGGAAGTTGACCTATCAGCAGATGTACTTCCGGATTCACCACACTTCCCTTTCGGTCGCGCTTCATGTCACAACTCTGATTTTAGCCAGGCTATTCACCATAGGATGGCTGGCCGTGGAGCCACCTGAGTTGGATAAAAGCCTGTCAGTTTAAGGAACGAAGAAAGTCGGAACTTCATAAGTCAACAAGCAAACGAAAGAAGTAAGGACTACTTTTGGAAAGAGAATCAAACCTGTTAGATATGAAAGAGAATATGAGTGGGGCTGTCTCCTCGGATGATGATGTAAAGTGCCATAAGTCAGTCCGTTGAGATGGAAATTCCACTATGTAGTAAGTAGGCTACATACCTTGATGGCTGCAACCGTTTATTCAAAATAGATGTCAACACGTGTATTCTAGAACTACCTTCAGGATTAACATTCTTTTCGTTTACTGCCTGTCCCGCATGGTGTGCCTTGATAGATTCATATATCTCATAAATTGAGATGCATTAAAGATCACATATTCAAGCAAGATAAAATGCGAGACCGAAATTTCCTTGGACAGGAGTTTCATCTGTAACTTTTCATACCAGTGTGTTTTCTTCCCAGTTTGCATCGCATCAGGGGTTGCGTTGATCCAACCTTCTCAACTGGCTTGTGAGCATCCGCCCTGTTCATAATATCGTCCAGTAAATGTCGAAAAAGCTCTTCTACCGTCATGTGAGTTAGGCCTCCTGGGGGAGTATACATCCCATGTATGCTATACTGGCCGTTTGGATATTGTAATCCGTTTTTGTTTTGCACTCTCACGCAGGTAGGTCGCATTTCACACAAATCCCCAGCACTTTGATTGCCTCCCACTTGTCAAAATGTACCGGATGTGCCTCGTATTCATTAGGTTGCTGTAGACTCTATAAGCATGGTCTGCTTATGCTGACAAGCGTTTTCAGCCCAAGAGACTATAACTCAACTGACTGTCAGTCCTCTTATTTGTCTGCGCGAATCACTCGGGCTGAATCACCTCAAACCTCGACCGCCTTTTAATGAGCAGCGTCGTCCGTTTTCACATCTCAGCACCGTAGCGGTGGTAACAGGGCTGATTTTCCAGTCATGGATTATTTACAGCCTGAGTACGCATTAGAACAGCAGTTCAAGCTTATAAGATTACTGCTGCTGTGATTTTCTTCGCTTGCTCCCAGTTCAGCTGCTTTCACCGATGTCTTGGCCAATGTCACGACTGACTTACCCTGTGACCTAGGGGCCACAGTTACTGTCAGCGCTTGACACAGACGTTTTGAAGAACTTTCAAGGCTTAATTTTGCCATCAGAATGATGAATGGATAGCCCATCTTTTGCTCCGGCAACCTCACCCATCAGAACTGGATTCCTGTTGCAACCACATACTACCTCAGAACCCAAACGAACCCACACTAGACGTAAAAATCAAACCGCTGAGCCGACAGTTTTACCATCATTCATCCCTCTTCAACGTCCATTTCTTAATTATACAACTAAGAATCAATGATTATGATGGCTTTTGGACATATGTCTGAGTCGCTGATGGACAGTGTGAACGACCTCAACTGGAGACATCATCTGATAATCGATTCAAACTACTTATCCTTAAATGCGGTCTTCATTTGTCGAAATTCTGTGATATTCGCACTCGACTCCTGAGCGGCATAGAACAGGGATCTAGGTAGAATAGCAATGAAATAGTGGACAAACTGTAACCAGTAGGAACGTTTCGTAACGGGACCAAATTGGTTCAGCCTGGTGAACTCAGCAATGCTGTCCATGATGCTTGTCAGTCATCGTGAGATAATTAATTATCAGATAATTAATTGTCAGATTATGCGCCCTCTTCAATACCTTTATCCAATTCCTCTCACGACATCAAGAAGACCACCTTCATCGTTGGTTCTATGGTTCTCAAAGCTTCATCAGGTTTTTCCCACATAAGGCCCACCCTTGCCGTCAGTGCAACATCACCGAACGTAGTCACCGCAACTTGTGCTGCCCACAGATGTCTCCGTTTAGGAAAAGTTGGTTTTGAAACTACTAGAAGTCAGTTGACAGATCCGTGCGCATCGTAGCCACCTTTATTGTAGCCGAGTTACCCAACAGAAATTTGTTAGTAGCACCAGTTGCTAACCATCCAGTCAGCCTAGAGTTGCACCCTGTGTCATATGTTGCAGCCATTTCCGACAAGCTTTGGCGTGATATTGGTTTGCCACGTCTCCAAACAGCAATTAAAATAACGATGAGCCTGTCTAGTAGGCTCCTCCCATCATCCGGTCAGCTCGTATGTGACGTTTCCTTTAACGGTCGCCGTGTTGTCAAGGTTGACCGGAATTTTTGCGTTTGGATCGATTTGATCATCTTGGATTGTCAGACGTACCACCCAATAGCCAGGTTAAGACGTCGCCTCAAACTTAGTCGTCACAGAACTGCGGAAAGTTTGCGCATGTTGATCAACCTGGTGTTAAGTCGTTGCACAGCACTATCTACCAGATTACGTCTACAGCCTGCTTTCAAACCAACCTTACACCCGAAGCTAACCGTCCTTTATGCTTCCGTTCCGTTAGCCGGCTCTGAGCCCTCAGGTTGGAAGAAACAGCGAGTCTCGAAACCAGTAATGAATTTGTTCTGGGTAGCCCCAATCATAGCGGTAAAGAAGGTTAATTGTTCTCTTCGTCTATGCGCTGGTTTTTCCACCGGCCTCTGTGCCTCCTTTGGGCCCTATCACTACCTATTACCGCGCCTGAGGAACTTGAACACCATCTCTGGTGGTGAAAAATGTTCGCAAAATTGGGTGTAGCAGGTGCATGCCTTCAAGGGAAGGTAATGGAAGAATGCAGAGACCTATCAGCTATTAACACTCAACACAGACTCTTCAAATGCAACCGACTACCATATGGCCTTAAGGCTGCTCTGACTATATTACAGCAGCCGATGGATGGCACACTGTCATGTGTTGCTGGTGTCACGAATTGCCTGGGTGATATTATGATCGTAGCTGATCGTCCAGAAGGTTAGCCTAGCCGAACGGAGTTGGTTTTCTGGCGTCAGCAAGAAGTCTGTTTCTGCATTCATCCATCAAAGCGTCGGCTCTCCCTTCAGTCGATGGAATGTCTGAGGTTTGTCTTCTATGTCTTGGGTACACACCCAGCCCCTGAGAATATATGGGCGATACAACAAACGCCATTCCGCGAAGATGTGTCTTCGCCTCGCCCACTTTGGGCCCAGCCAGCTACTACTCAGCTTTCCTGACACCTGTGCGTAACGTGCAAAAACCAAATAACCAGCCGCTCTGTAAAGATGCCACTAGGCAATAGTCCAGCGAACGTGGATCTGTCTTTAATAAGCTGAAAACCTTGCTTAGTCTGGACTTATTGACAAATCAGTTACGGACAGTGATAGCAAGGGATGCTTCGGCACATGTGTTTGACAGTTATCTTTCATATGTCTCAAGGCGAAAAAGGGGAAAGCTATTACGCTATTACTATAAGGAACAGTTTGCCTAGGGATGCGCGTCAACCAAACACTGACTAAGTTTGTAAAATGGATTAACTCTACACCACATGACTTTTAACATTTTCAACCATTATCAGTCTAGGGATGCCTCGAGACTGGCTTCTCTCATGTTAAATTCATAATGTGAGAATAAAAGTTTTACCTACTTATTTATGTCTCGAGAACACTGATACAGAACGGGTTTATAGATAGGTGAAGAAGGGAATCTAACTTCTAGTTTTGAGGGTACTGAAATTTTACTGGCTGGCATATGGACAAAGATTGATCCTGCCTGGTCGATTATGGGCTACTCCTCTCTGCCTTCAAAAGTAAGTCTGGGACCCTTGCTCGCTCCGCAAACAGACAACATTGATGGACTCTGGCTTCTTGGGTATGATCATGACTTACTCTGTCGACG